AAAGCTAAAGAGGATAGAAACTCTGTTAACTGATGGTATGTGGAGGGGATTATAATCAATGTAATGAGACAAGGTATATGAGTGTTTGAATGTGAAACCGATGATGTGCCCTGAACTCTTTCACTCAATCCACAATAAAAACCTTAAAAAAAAAAAAAAAAAAAAAGTTAACAAGTAGCCATCTAAGATAGAACTATTGGTCTCACAAGAGCGAAAAATAAAGAAGAAATTAGTCTACTGGACAAATAGTCTACATAAACCACAGCCTCGTGTATCTTGAGACCAGGAAGAACTAGATGGTGCTCGACTGCCACTACCAACCATTCTAATCAGGGCTACAACAGATGGACCCTGATTGAATGGAAGAAAAATGTGGAATAGAACCTCAAAATCCTAAACAACCCAGACTCAATGGGCTGGTTGAGACTGGAGAACGAACTGAGTCTACTGTCCTGAGACACTTCAAATCTTGAACCAAAACTAATCCAAGGTTGTCTTCTTATAACTAAAAACAAACTGGCAAAACAAAACAGAAAAAGAAAAAACAAACAGTACCACTCATAAGCACTGTGCTCCTTTAAATTACATGCAGTCAAAGAAACACTAAGAGCAGCTCTACTCTGTCCTTTAGGGTCGTTAAGAGTAGTGATCAATTCAACGGCAGTTGGTTTGGTTTGGATATATGAGATCAAATGGTTAACAATTACTTTAAAACAAGGATGAAAATGTAAGTGGGGCAGGGACACTAGATTAATGGAAACTAATGCTGAACACCCAGAATGGAAATAATGAGAACATTTACCCACTGTGAAGACTGTGACCAATGTCAATGAACAACTCATGTAGAAATTGTTTAAACGGGGACCTAAACTGCTGTGTAAGCTGCTCTGAGAACAGAATGAAATATTGCTAAGAAACAAAACGAAACCAGTCACTGAGTTAACACAGGTTTTTAAAAATTGGTATTTGTGTAGCTAAATAATGTATTAGGGAAATCTATTTATAGGTCGCCATTATTTCAGAAAGTCCAGTGATAGGCAGAACAATCATTCACAGGATGTTGTAGTTAAGTGCTGTGGATTCGGTTCTGACTCATAGCGACCCTGTACAGGGTTTCCAAGGAGCGGCTGGTAAGCTTGAACTGCAGATCTTACAGTTCAAACCAACCTTGCGCATTAACACGCAGCACCACTCCAGGACTCCACAAGGATACTGAGTTAATAAAAAGCTCTGGGTGCACAGTGGGTTAAGTGTTGGGCTGTTGACCTCAAGGTCAGTGGTTCAAACCCACCAGTCGCTCTGCAGGAAAAAGATACCAAGGCATATAGGGAATGAGGGCAGGCTAGAAGAGAAAATAAATGAACTTCTACATCAATGCATTGAGATTATCAATGTGTACTTTTCTCCCACAGTGACTTTTAAAAAATTCACTTCCTTCTGGTTGGTTTCAGGCAGAACTATGGTCAATAAAACAGAGAATTATTATATTAACAGATCACCCAGTAATGTTTTCAAATACACCAGAATTGATGAACAAATCTTCTCAATGACATGTCTATTCCAATGACATTACTCTTTGTTGAAAATATTTTTTAAATCGAATAGCAAGCAGATTATTTTGTCAGTCTTTAGTAGTGTCCAATCTAATGGTCTTGCTTAAATACAGTAAGTGGGAAGAAAGGAGCACAAAAACAATTTGCATCATTAAATGTTTACTTGAAATAAACTATGTATCAATAACCTCCAGGTCTTAAAATCACCTGTTTCCCTTACAGATATTATAATCAGATCATTGCTTGCTTTAGCCTAGAGAATTTCACTTCAGAAAACTCACATGTAAGGTCACTCATAAATATTTAAATCTAGGAAATCTGAGGGTTAGAAAAGGATGAAGAGGAGCCAAAAAGGCATTTTGCCAACAATATTAGGAGAGGAAGCAGTTCTGAAAAAGATGTGGGGTGGAAAAGGGGCCAAAGAATGTTACAGAGCAAAAGACTTCATGAAATTCATAAGGATTACCCAAAACATTTTAAATATCTCAAATCAGCTAATATATTCTATATTTCTGAGTCCAGAGCAGATCAAGCAAGTTAACAACCTTCTGTTAAATCAACAAAAACTCTAAATTGCTCAAATGGGGGGGGGGGGGGAAGGGAATGCCACTGACTATAAATCCCTCATAGAATGCATATTCTCTGCAATCAGATGAAGGCGATAAATAAGGAGATCTTGGAGTGTCTTGAAAAGCAACCCATAGTTTGCTGATTGATCATCAACTGTTCATTAGTTTAAGTGGTCTGCATTTTTGAAGCTATATAAACAGCTTAAAAAATGGTAGTGTAGTGGATTATGCAATGGGCTGCTAATCACAAGGCCAGCATTTCGAATCTACCAGCCGCTTCATAGGAGAAAGATAAGGCTTTCTGCTCCTATAAAGATTTACAGCCTACGACATCCTATATAGGGTCATGATGAGTTGGATGACAACATAGTAGAAACAGCACTCTTGCCCAAGTCTATTCTCTTCAGGAAAAGTCTCCAAATTTATGAACATAATAATACATTTGTTACTTCATAAATGCCAATCTGCCTTCATATTATATGCTCTTGTAATGCTTTCTATAATTAATTTATTACCATTCTAGATTCTCTATGTTTATATGCCTTTTGGCACAAGGGATAAACACAAAAGTAGATTGTGTATCACACCAGTACCAGCAAATGCTATAGTAACAGAGCATTGGTGTGACTCATGCAAATTGTTGCTTGGTTCAATATGGTGATATGAAAACTGCCATGGCAACAGGAGGAATGACAAACTATGGTAAACTTTACTTGCTGTAAGAGAATTTACTAAACAATGACTATAAACTTGATGTCCACTTTTATGAAATGGTGCAATTTCATATTTACTATACTTTGCGTCTGCTTCCAACATCCTTCTTTGTTGCTTTCCAGGAGTCTGCACTTCTATTCTTGTTTTCAAAAGGGAGTGGTAGGAAGAAGGAAAGCAATGCTACCGATAGATGTATTAAATTGACAGTCTGTATGTTCATATACTTTTAGAGCTACTAGGGAAATCTAGAGGTCAAAGGGATTCAAGCCTTGATTTTATAGAATCAGAGTTGAAAGAAAACTAAACTTCCAAAGGTAAGTCACAGAACAGAAGTGGATGGTATCGACACAAATTTAGCTAATGAAAGTAAATTATAAAACTGTTTAAAGCAACCTTTGCTCCCCAGCTAGGAACACCAGGCAATTTTTTTCCTGGTGGAGAATGGACTTCTAAAAATTCTGGTTAGCAGTCAGTTGGACCAGGTTTAAAGGGATGAACAGTCTAGTCTAATGTCTTTGTACTTAATGGTCAAGTCATCTTAGGCAAGACTTTCACCTCCCCGGACCTCCTTTCTTCTTCATCATTTTTTTTAGAGTTTTGACCTTTCTTCTTCATCATTTTTTTTAAAACAAGAGAAAACATATTCTTGCCCTATTTTAGAGGTTACCTTTACAGATGTGTGGCTATGGAATTTATTGGGGGAGGGAGGATGAAAAAAGTTTTTATTTGCTCAAAGAAAGCAATCTGACTATAGATGCCTATTCCACAAACATTCAAACTTGTAAATTTTGGGATAACTGAGTTTTTTGTTAGGTGCCATTAAGTTCCATTTGACTCATAATGACACCATGTGACAGAACAAAACAGCCCCATGGGGTTTTCTAGACTGTAATCTTTAGGCTGTGCATAGGTAGATGGCACTTAACAACAAAAATCTTTAGGGGAAGGAGCCCTGGTGATGCAGTTGGTTAAGCACTGGACTGCTAACCACAAAGTTCACAGTTCAAACCCACCAGTCAGTCAAGGAGAGAAAAATGGGGCCTTTCAACCTAGTAAATAGATTTACAGCCTTAGAAACCCTAGGGTTTCTAAGTTACAGCAGTTCTACCCTGTTTTACAGGCCCAGTACAGTGGGAATCACTCCTCAATCGATGGCAGTGAGTAATCTGCAGGGGAACAGACCCCCAGGTCTTTCTCCCGCAAAGCTGCTGCGTGGATTTCACTAGCAGCTGAAAAACCGGTGGCTGTCCAAAGACCCGACCCTGCAGAATAGAGGAAAAATTCCCCATGGGGTTTCCAAGGTTGTCATCTTTAGGGAGCAGACTGCCACATCTTTCTCCCTGTCAGGGCTCCTCAGTGCCTACTCAATTATAACTGACTCCACTCATTTCCCCACATATTTTATCTTCTCTTCCAGAAGCTCAAATCTGGTGCTAGCCAGGAGCTGCACACACCCCCAGGGCTATTTCATTCCATTGGTTGGCGGACTGTCTCGCAGTTTACACCCTTTAGATTTACTGTCAGGCGGCCCGATGTTTATTTGTCAGGGACCTTATACTGCGCATATATTAACTTTTTTTTTTTTTTTTAATTTAAATAAAGCAGAAGCTGTCAGAGTAGTAAAATACAAGATTAATGTGTAACTAGTAAACTTCTTTGATTATGAGCACTGTCTAGATTTCACACCTGGAAGGCAATACACTTTTCTCTGTTTCTGTCTCATTGGTAACTGTTTTAAACCGAAGTTTAAAATTTTTCAGAAAATAACTGATTTCATGTTTTGCATTCGGTTGCACATGAAAACTTGCAGAGAACAATCAGATGGGCTGGCTATTCCCTTTTCTAGAAGTGCATATCCGCAGGACCCACCCTGTATGACACACACACCGACCAGGACAAGAGAAAAGAGCGGTGCTCGGACTTTCTGCATATAGCATCAACGTTGTCAAGGGCCCAGGGTGATTCCTTGGGGGAAGGACTCAGGGCCAACCAAGTGTTGGTATTGGGTGGGAAAACCGCCATGCAGGCAGATGAGAATGTGGGGGTTGAACACGTCCGCCCAGCGGCGGGGAGGGCGGAAGGGGGACACCCCAGGCTGGCATACGTCGCCGCAGGCCGGCAGAAGGCCCGGAGCGGAGGCGGGCCAGGCGGGCAGGACACTCACCTCCCTTGCAGGGCGTGCGGTGCTGGCTGTGCTGGGCCCGGTAACCCTCGATGACTTCCCAGGAGCCGTCGTCGCGCCGGATGGGGAAGGACAGGCTCAGCACATGGTTGCAGGGCTTGATGATCCGCAGGATGCCGCGCACCCGGTTCCGCTTCTGGTCCTCGCTCTCCCGGGTTCGGAGGTCTTCCACCAGCTTGTCCTCCACGATGCTGGCGCCGCGGTTGAAGAAGCCCTCCACCCTCTTGAAGAAGCTGGGGTCGTCCTCACGGTCGGCCGCCACCTCGCTGTAGTGTCGCCGGGTGCACGGCGCCAGCGCGGGCTGCGGGGCGGCGGCGGGCTGTCCGCGGGCCCAGCCCAGCAGCGCGGCCGACTCGGTCGCCCCGGGGCTCAGGGCGGCGGCCCCGGCCCGGGACAGCAGCAGCGCTTCGCCCAGGCAGCGGTACATGGCGGCGGGCAAGGGCGCCACAGAGCGAGCAGAGGCGCGTGCGGGGCCGGAGAGAGCGCTGGGAGACGGCGAACGCAGGGAGAGAGAGCCCGGCTGAGCGGCCTTTTTAAGCCGCAGCTTCCTGCCTCGCTGGCTGTCTCCTCCCTCTGCTCCCCTCCCTCCCGTCCGGGCGCTCTCCGCCTAACCCGGAGGACGGACTTTAGACCGCAGCCCAGAGACGCCTGTGAATGGCAGGGCGGGGGGCGCGCGCCGCCCTGGGGGCAACCTGCTTCGCCGCCCGGTCCTTGGCCCCGCCCCTCCCCGCTCCACCCCTCCCCTTCCCGCTGTCCTGCAGCGCAGGGTCCCCGGCACGCATGCTCGCGATCCGCGCGCGGCCCTGTGGGGGAGGGGCGCGCCGTCCTCCCTCTTGTGCCCGCTGCTCAGGTCAGTGCGCTCCCGGGCCTCCCCGCGAGGACGGGGCTAGACTCTGGGGGGCGCTGGAGCCCCGGCCGGGGGGAAGGGGCCCGGGGCGGGGGGGAAATGGCGCGGTGTGGCTGTAGGCCGGGCGGTGAGTCATGGATGTCCCTCCTTTCCGCTACGCGCTCCAGGGCGGGGCGGACCTCCCCGCCACCCCCTTGTAGGTTTTCAGGCGTCTTCTCCCAGAGGGGCTGGGCGCGGAGCTCCGGGATGGGTCGGGAAGGCAGGCCGGAGAAGCGGTGGCGAAGGCCTGGCTGCAAGGCTTGGCCTTATCCTTGGAGACCAGGCCGAGTTTAATGTTACCTGAAGTTCAGTTTTGAGAGGATTTAGCGGGAAAACTTGGGAAGGCGTAAGCAGGCGAGCTGGGGAATCCCTTACCTACTGGTTTTGACCACTTCCGTTCTTTATTTTGCCTACTCAGTTGTTAAAATGGGAGCGCGGTGGCTCTGTAAAATAAGCACTGGACAGGGAACCACAAGGTAGGTGGTTCGAGTCCACGAAACACTCCGCAGGAGACATTTGAGGCTTTCTGCTCCTACAAAGAGTCACAGCTTCAGAAACCCCTACACAAGGTCACTGTGAGTCGGAACTGACTCGACGGCACTTAACAATAAGTTGTTGGGATTAAATAGCTGTTGCCTTCTCTCTGCCATTTAGACTCCATTTCCATTTTCAGAGCTAAAACAACAAAACTATAAAAATTGAATAGTATTCCAAGAAATTCCTTCCCAGTAATACATGGATTTGGAGTCCTGGTGTGGTGCTGTGGGTTAATGCACTGGACCATAAGGTCGATTAGAACCACAAGGTGAGCGGTTCAAACTCACCAGCTGCTCCTTAGAAATCCTATACAGGATCACTATGAGTCAGAACCGACTCGATGGCACTGAACAGCAACAATACATGTATTTGTCAAATGGCTCAGAGTAGGATTTGTAAATTTTTAAGATCCATGAGGGCTCAATTAAGTACTTGTAATATGTAACTTGCTGAGACGTGGTAATGTAATATACACCTGTGGGTAAATTTATTGTTGTTAAGTGCCTTAGAGTCGGATCTGACTCATAGCGACCCTGTACAGGGTTTCCAAGGAGCGGCTGGTGGGTTTGAACAGCTAACCTTGTAGTTAACAGTCCAGTGCTTATCCTACGGCGCCACACCAGAACTCATGTCAATTGCATTAATGTATTTCAGTGTACTCTAAAAGTGAAAATCGTTCTTCCTTACAGATGTAACTGTATATTTCACTTGTTTGCCAAAGAAATGATACTCATTATCTATATATTATTTGTATTGTGTTTTCCAGTGAAAAATACTCTGTCCTGAATCCTGAATTTGCCTTGTTGAACAAAAAATTAAGGTATCAAAATTTCTTTTTTCACTTAACAGTATTATAATTTGCATTGAAGAATTACCTTAACACCCTCCTCCCCGCAAAAGTTTCATAATAGTCTACTTGTAGAAATGTTTTTCTCTTCAATTAAATCTTTTTGTAAATCGTGAGGAAAAGTGATTTAAAGGCTTAGTTTTATGGTCCTTACTTATCTCTCTCTTGATAACTATAGCCTTCAGAAAAATAAATGTTTAACTTTGCCTTAAGAAGGTCGAATGAATATGGAAGGATAGAGAAATAGAACTGTAGAAATTATTATTTTTCAGTCTTCTGTGAGTCAAATGAAAGCTTACAAAAGTGACTGTGAGAATCCTGTAAAGTAAATGCTGCTTAGAAATCCTCCATTTAGTTTAAAATGATTTACTGTGATGTAAAGTCTAGTGAATATCAGAAGATTACCTCTGTAAAACATGTACAAAATTAGTAATAATTTCAGTAATGAAATTTAATTTTTTTAAGCTTTAATCAACTATAAGTTAATTGAAGTTTAATTATTAGTAATTTCCAGTTCAAAGAAGACTAGAATTTAACATGGAGGAAATTTTGGTCATTCAGCAGAGATAAACCTGTCTTTGAGGTTTATATGAGTTTTCCTTAACTGTTTAAAAATTCCAGGTATGGTCTCCTTGAACCATAACAATGTGCTTTACAAAATATTTTAGGATGAAGAAAGACATAGCATATAAATACATGAGCAGCATAATCATTTTAGAAAATAATTTAATTTGGAAAAGTAATAAATATATTTTTTAACTTTCTGTCCCTATGTATTTGCTCATTGTGGATAGTTCATATAAATGAAATAATAAATGATGCTGTTTGTGTTTTCTTTAACATAGCATAATATGATTAACCATCATCGTTTTTTTGTTTTGTTTTTTTTTTGGTGGGAGAAGGGTACCAAGGAGTTAGGGTTAGGACTATGGCTAGTCTAGGCTAGTAGGCCTAGGACTTTGTTTAGTGTTAGGCTTATGGTTAGGACAAGCCTTAATGTTAGGGGTTGGGCTTGGTCTAGTTTTAGGGTTATAATTGTAATTTTGCTCTAATAATTATTATCTTATCTCTTAGTGACTCTAAGAACTTTGTTTAGTACTTCATTTAGAAGTTTTTAAAAACTTTTTCTATATTGTGAATTGGGTGAAAGTTTGCAGAGCAGATCATTAGTTTTCTAGTCCATAATTTACATGCATTCTGTTTGCTCTCATTGACTGCTTTCCCCTCAGTGTAACATCACTTATCCCACTTCCTCCCTGGGTTTCCTGTTTGCATTTCTTCTTCTTTCCTAACTCTTATGAATTTTGTCCATGGGTAAATGCTGCCCTTTTGATCTCAAATGATTGATTATTTCCAAGTTGTGCATGCCTTGTTGGTACTAGTCTCTCTTAGACCTGTCTACTGTTTGGCAGAAGATTGAGCCACGGTGATGAGTTCAGCTGCAGAATTGGAGGGTGTGGAAGGCCCAGAGTCTCAAAGTTTCTATCAGACTGGTAAGCCTGCTCTCTTATTTGATGTTGATTTTTGTTCCAAATTTTTCTCAAACTCTTTATCTTCCAATGTGATCTCTTTCAGAGCAATTGGTAGTAATAGCTGGTACCTTCTAGTTCTTCTGGCCTCAAGGTTGTGGACACTGATACTCGTGTGACCCATTAGTCCACTGGACTAATTGCTTCAATGTGACTTCCGTTTCCATCACTCTTTGTTCCTGTAGATAGGGAGAGACCAATAACTGTACCTTAGATGACTGCTAATGAGCATGTAAGACCCCAGTTGCTACTTACAAACTAGGATGTAGGACATTGTCTTTGTAGACTATGTTATGCCCCAAGACTATAATCCTGAGCCTGTAGACCCAGTGACGCATTCCCTGTAGGTGCTTGGTGATGTCTAAAAAGTTTGCATAACTCTGCCTTAAGTATGTTCTACCACATTCATGGATCTATTTGCAGCAAAGGTAAATATCCATGTGCAAACATTCTCTGTCAAACTTGTATATATGGGTGTACTTCTACTCTGCCTCCACACCCATTCAGCCTGTGTGTCTGTCCATGCTTTTACTGGTAGATCACTTTACTGCATGATTTTGTATATAACATTATTTAAATCTATTGCCTTTAACTCTTGGACTCCTCCCTGTGTCTTTCCCTACCCCTATCATTTTTTTTTTGCCAATCTCCTATCATCTATTGCTTTTTCCTTCACCAAAGTTAAAACAGTCTAGTCTGCCTTGAAATTTGCTTGACTTCCTCTCCCTTTGGAAATTCTGCAACTACACTAATACTTATATTTACTCTGTAATTGTTTTTTGGTACAAATTGATATCTCTGAGTCTCTATTTTCACTCTTGTAGGTTTGTTTTACTTTGGATACTTCTGGGTAGTGTTGTCATGTTTGTTAATCTTAGATTGTTATCTGCTGTTGGTTCTCTGTGCAAAAACTCCCTTTAGTATTTCTTTGTAAAGTTGGTTCCGTTTTTGCAAATCCACTTTATTTCTGTTTATCTGGAAGTGTCCTAATTTTGTCATTGTGTTCTGGGGACAATTTTAGTGAGTGTAGATTCTTGGACGGCAGTGTTTTTTCTTTCCAAGGTTTATATTTGTCATTTCATTACTTTCCTGCTTGCATGGTTTCTGCTAAAAATAGCAGTACTTTGTCTTACTGATGATTTGCCTTTGTTTTTCTTGAGTTGGTGTCAGGATTCCTTCCTTGTCTTTGGTTTTAGAAAGTTTTCTTATGATATGTTGTAGTGATTTTCTTTTGGGGCCTATTCTGTTTGGGGTGCATTCAGCTTCTTGACTGTGTAATCTTCACATCTTCCGTAATATTAGGGAAGTTTTCTTGTAACAACTCTCCACCAGTTTTCTCACTGCTTTTCTTTTTGGTCTCTCCTGTTCTGGAACTCCAGACATAAGTTATTCCTCTTGATTGGATCCCACTCAAATCTTAGGCTCTCTTCAGATTTTTTCCCTTTTTTTCTGATTTTTACTCTATCTAGTATGGAGAGGTTTGTCTTCAAGTTCAGTATTTCAGCCTTCCACTGATTCATTTCTACTTATTTGCCCTTCCAATCAATGTATTATATTTTTTTCAGATTTTAGTATTAATCCTCTGGATTTCCATTTGCCATTTTATATAGTTTCTAGTGTCTCATTTGTTTTGTTAGTCTGGTCTTACAGTGTTTTCCTGAAT